TTGATTATTTATTTATTTCTCTCTGGCAGGATATATTTGTGCATCATCCATCTTGACGGAAACATCAAAGTGAGTATTTCTTGTTCTTTATATCCTCTTAAACATAAAGCCAATAAGAACAAGCAAATTTAAGTAGATAACTATATCTGCTTTTCCAAAAAAAAATAAAGAAAATATTTTACAAAATAAGGGCATTATATGTAGTTCTTTAACACATTTCCACAAATTGAAAATTATCAAGCATTCAGTTCCTTATTTATGAAGCAAATTTTTTTTCACTTTTATTTTAATAAGAGGAGTTCTTGGAGGTATCCAAAGACTGCAGATACGAAAGAGATATTACTTTCAATTTAAAGATTTGTAAAGAAGTTATACTCAGTAATTACCCATTTTATGTTATTATCATCAATGTAAATTGCTGATTACAAATGTGCTGTATCTTAACATAGAGTAAAACATCGTTTAATGATTAAAAAAGAATAAAATTGAGCCTGGCTGGCATGGCTCAGTGGTTGAGCATTGACCTATGAACCAGGAGGTCACGGTTTGATTCCTGGTGAGGGCACATGCCCGGGTTATGTGCTTGATCCCCAGTATGGGGCATGCAGGAGGCAGCTGATCAATGATTCTCTCTCATCACTGATGTTTCTACCTCTCTCTCCCTCTCCCTTCCTCTCTGAAATCAATAAAAATATATATTTAAAAAATAATAAAATTGATCTGACACTAAATAATGAAAATCATTCTTTGGATTAAACTGATCTGCTTAATGAAAAGCAGAATTCTATTCCCCATTGGTTTTGGTAAATCACAGTATGATGTGCTTACTCACATTAATGCTATTCTGCCCTTTATGACATGGTAAAGGAGTAAATATTAGGTTTGATAAAAGTGAACGTGCTCTTGGCAAATACTTATCTCACCAGTTTTATGAAGTCATGTGGTGAAAATAGCATGCGTGTTGGTGCTAAAATACTACACTATTTTGTTTATTTCTCTATCTTGAAGTTCCTTCCTAAAATTCATTTATATCAGAGGCTGGAGAGATTTGGGGACACTCCCCTGAATTTTGTAAAACGAGACAGCACCACCACCCAAATCTAACCCCTCCAAAAGGGGGAGGGGGACCTTTTAAATGTTAAACCAAGAAAGACCTCTTTGATAAAGTGATGGAAATCAGGAGGAAAACACCAGCCCTCTCTTGGGAAAGGCTTGTTCAGGTTGCCTTGGGGCCTTTGACTATACAAGTTCTTTTTGTTTTCTTCCAGAAACGGATTTAATGAAAATCGACAGAAAAGAGCTCTTTTAGCAGCGCAGGTAGGTTATGCCTCAGATGGAGAGAGAGGCAGAGAAACAATCCATTCTGCTTTGGGACTCTGCTGTCACTTCAACAATGAGACCGTTGTGGAAGGGAATAAAATGCTAAAAACAAGACAGGAAGGAGGAGGAAGAGGCAAAGTAACTTCTCTATTGCTTTTCTGTGCCCCTCCAATTCATGCTTAGCTCACATTTACTTGTTTACTTGCTGAGAGGCTCACAGCATTTGTGGGAGATTCAATCTCATCTACTTGCCAGAAAATTTAAATGGGTTTAAAAATTAAGCCCCAAATCAGGACAATAACAACAGAACAAATACAAGCAACAGAACAAATACAAGCAAATAGAGCAGAGAAAGGTACAAATGATCGGAGTTAAATACTGCAAAGGTCATCAGAGATGTCCTTGACAAACAGCTTTTATATAAATTTAAATTACAGGCACTCTGAAGAGGTAACTTTTTTTTTTTTTTTTTAGGGGGGGGAAAGCAGTGAGTTATAGCAGTGAATTTGAGGATGTCTTTTTGTCTGGACCTTTTTATATAAAGGATATTGGATAATATATTTGCATAATTTTCAAACTATGGCTGGAATGTTCAAATGAGTGGGTTTTAAAAAACATTTCTCAATAAAAGATGGATGGCAAAAGAGAGAATCCTAATTTAAAGGCATTTCTTTGGAAAGTAATAAGATTTGAGCATTTAGATAGCAAACAGCATATATATTCAAGGAGGCTTTTGTCAAATGCTGAAATGCAATACATTTCTGGTAAATGCCTAAATTTTAATATTTTTTGGTGTTAATTGAAAAGAATTAAAGAGAGATTTGATATGCTGTTGTGACAATTTAGAAGACAGAATTAATTTATTTTAATCGAGTGATAGGTGTGCTGAAATGGACAAAGGATTATATATGAAATGGAAATATTTTATTTTTTCCTATAAAGAGTGGTGTACTTAAGTATCATGTGAAGTGGTTAAAATTATCTTTCTCTGAGAAATTTTATGTACATGTTTGCCAGTACCAGTGGTTCTCAACCTTCTGGCCCTTTAAATACAGTTCCTCATGTTGTGACCCAACCATAAAATTATTTTCGTTGCTACTTCATAACTGTAATGTTGCTACTGTTATGAAACGTAATGTAAATATCTGATATGCAGGATGGTCTTAGGCGACCCCTGTGAAAGGGTCGTTCGACTGCCAAAGGGGTCGCGACCTACAGGTTGAGAACCGCTGCGACAAAATTAACCACAAAAAGACATCATCTTGACTCAGTAGAAAATCCAATTTTTGAGAAAAACTGCATTCCATTGGACCCACTAGATTGAAGAACCTTGAGACATATCCTATAGTGTCACATGGAGTGACCTATTGCTGGGATTACACAGCGTGGGGGAAAGTAGGTTTACAGATGTGAGTATGTGAAACACAGAGTTTATTCTTGTAGTATTATTTATTGTTATATTATTTTCCATATGAACAATTGTAAAACTACATTTGTACCACCCTTATTATTGTCCTTATAGGTATCTTAGAATTTGTATAATTTACTCCAAAGTAGTTACGTTAATATCCCCTTTTTGTTAATAAGTTAGGAGCTCACCTTGTTTTGATTTCTCTTTTAGAGAGAAAGAATAGGACACTTGCCTTTTTATTTCCTGGAACTAAAGCACATACATCAGGATTATTTAATATTTGAACACATTTTAAAAGAATAAATGTTAAAGAAGGACAATGAAGTCATAATCATGTGTTGCACTGTTTAGAACTGAAATTTCATCTGTTATAAGGCCATTCCTCTCTCCAGATTCACTCCCCTGCTCTAGGAAGACAGGACACTGGTGGATAGATATCTGTGCAAGTAAGAATTCAGAAATATGTTGCCAGTGAGATGAACAATGAGCAAAGAAAGGGTAGGCAGGCTTCTCTCAATGGTGTATTTGTGTGCTGCAGCGATTTCTCATTGAAAGACTGCATTTCTCTGTGCTTCTCAGCCTCCTGTGGAGATGTAATCAGCAGGAGGAAGAATGGCCTATTCTTTTTTATCACTTATGTGAACACATGCACCCACTGCTTGCATTTTTTCTTTTCTTTTTGCATTACATTTAAAAATTCTCCTGAAAGCAGGGGCTGAGACCTAGACTCAGGTGCAGGTAATTTATTTAGGATGCGCACAGTCAGGGAGAGAGAAAAATAAGACTCGGAAGGCAGAAAATCCAATACAGCTATGTTAATAAGGGGCTGTTTGCTTTAGGCATCTGGGGCTCAGTCTTACTGGGGACTCTCTGAGGGGCTGTGTAGAATGTGTTGTAGAGTTGTTCCTCCAATGGATGGAGAAAGCTGGGATACTTATTCACCAGCTCCTTTTCCTCCTTGGATGAGGGCGACTGCCTGGGGGCCTTAAATCATCCCCTGGAAGGCACTTTCTGTGGTCTGTCCTACTTGTGGTCTATTTCCTTGGGTGGAAATAAAAAGAAGCTGGTGTTTGAAGTTGGAGGGTCTCAATGTGCACAGAAACCCAGGTGCAGGTGAAGTGGGATGAGAGGATGCAGGGAGGGGCATCCACAGAATCTTTCATAGACATGGTTCTAAACAGCCTTGGGAGGCAGGCCATTCCCATTCAATATTGTCTATTTTCAGTTTAGTTGGTGTTTGTTGATGACATACAAGAGATCATACTAAAGATAAGCATGAATAGCAGTACTTGTTATGTAGAAACTCATTGTCTAGTGGAGGACTGTAAAGAATTCATTTCTGTGTAACTTGTTCATTGAATCTGAGACACCATCAATTAATTATTTGCCATTATTTATATGACATAAAAAACAAAAGTGCTCCCAATTATAAATATAAAATACCATTCTGAGTTCAGATCTGTTTGAAAAATGAAAACAATGTGTCATGTCCTACCACTGTTGAAATATTATAGTCTGACACATGGGATGCTGTGGTCATTAGGATGCTGTGATAGCCAGGAGACTGGTATTGTAGGGAGTCAGACCTAGTCATGCTAGGTAGTGAGAGGATAGGGAGCAAAAAGCGACTTATATATTCTTGCCTTAGTCTAGTGTTTTCCAGTGTATTCAGTTTTTGCCTAATAATAAAAATATGCAACATGTTTAGAACCCTTATTATGTGCCTGGCACTATTCTGGGTACTTTACTTATCCCATCTCATTTAATCCTCACAATTCTGTGAGGCAGTTACTGTTATTCCATTTTATAGTTGGGGAAATTGAGGCTGAGAATGTTAAATAATTTGTTCAAGGTTATAAGCCTGTATGAGGCAGAGTTGAAGTCACTGTTCACTTTTAGTGAGCATCAGAGGTAATTCATTGGAGCCAAAGAAGATTTTGGTGCCCGGTAATATTGGTGGTTATGCTAGATTTAGGCAGCTGGAAAAAAATGAGACTGACGAGAGAATATAACTTGCTGTCTTGGGGATAATCAAGGTCACAGACTGTTGTGAGGCTGACTTGGTTTGAAGAGAGAGGGAAGGGCAAAAAGGGGAGATTAAGTAGTGAGGATAAAACCCTGGAGGAATGACAGCAGGAAGCAATGAACTTGGGACCATGATGCGGGCCAACGAGTTTAGAAAGGCGTCTTAAAGTGGTGAGTGTGGGAGTTCTTCTAGCAGGCATGGTTTGCCTGTTAAAATAAAAAGTACCTGGTTGGAAAATGCCAAAATAAAACTTTACATGTAGGAAGGAGGTAAGAGCCCTAGCCGATATGGCTCAGTGGATAGAGTGTCGGCCTGTGGACTGAAGGGTCCCGGGTTTGATTTTGGTCAAGGGCATGTACCTTGGTTGCAGGCTCCCTGCCCTGGTCCGGGGCATGCCGGAGGCAACCAATGGATGTGTCTCTCTCACATCGGTGTTTCTGTCTCTCCTTCTCCCTTCCACTCTCTCTAAAAATCAATGGAAAAATTATCTGCTGGTGAGGATTAAAAAAAAAAAAAGGAAGGAGATGAGAATATATTGAGAAAGGACTTTGTATCTGAGTCACATTCCATATCACCCTTTCTTCTTTTCCTTTACCCTTCAAGTTTTTCTAACATCCTCTTAGTACTCAATTTCACAATTATGTGGCAAAATTTTGGAGCGTGTATTCTGTGAGCATAAAATTGCCATTGGAAAGGACAGTGCTGCAGACAATATACTATATTAGAGGCCCCATGCACGAAATTCGTGCAAGGGCCTTGGCCCTGGCCCCGGCCCACCACCGCCACCACGGACGGGGGCCTCTGCTGCCTCTGCCGCTGTCCCTGCCCGCTGTGGCTTTGTCCAGAAGGAAGGACATCTGGAAGGACATCCGGTCTAATTAGCATATTACGATTTTATTATTATAGATTGGTTTTGAGTTGAAATAAAAATCACGAGCCCTGGCTGGTTTGGCTCAGTGGATGGAGCGTCGGCCTGCGGACTGGGGGGTCCAGCGTTCGATTCCAGTCAAGGGCATGTACCTTGGTTGCAGGCACATCCCCAGTGGGGGTGTGGGCAGAAGGCAGCTAGTCGATGTTTCTCTCTCATCAATGTTTCTAACTCTCTAACCTCTCCCTTTCTCTCTGTAAAGAAATCAATAAAATATATTTTTTAAAAATCACTATTAGTTTTAGTAACTCATAATTATTTGCTACTAATCCATATTGACCTCTAAAAGTATTAAGCTTTTATCTGAGTTGCTTAGATTAATATTGAAAGGGCAAGGGCTACACCCTCCATCTTGCCCCAGGGTAAGGGCTAGGCCCTCCATCTTGCCCCAGGGTAAGTGCTCCATCTTACCTTGGCCATGTGCTTGGCAAGGAGCTTCTTCCCGGAAGTCTAAGCCTCTGCTAGCCACACCCAGGAACAAGACACCGACTTGCGCCTGGCCAATCGGCAAGGCCACAGCCCTTTCTCCTCCCCTTACTCCAACCCCCTATAAAACCCCTCTTCACACAGAGTTCTCTCTCTCTCTGCTTCCTGTCGCTGCGTCGGCAAGGTGGGGGAGCCGAGCTAGCTCGAATAAAGACTCTTATGCTTTTGCATCGGACTGGCTGGCTCCCTGATGTGGTTTCTTGGGGATCCTGAAATCTGGGCATAACAAATATAAATCTCTCTTGCTAATTTTCTGTGCGAAAGGTACTATGGAGGAATCTTTACATAAATTGTTTTATTTATTGTTATGACTACACAATAAAATAGGTACCATTGTTCCCATTTTACAGACAAGTAAAGGAAGGCACTAAGAGGTTAGGAAACTTGTCTAAGAGTAAGTACTGACAGGATTAGGACTCTAATCTGGGTCTCTCTGATTCACTAATCCATGCTTTTAACCCTATAGTGCCTTGAGGACTATTAAAATACATGTAAATGTTCTATGAACCTTCAAGTGTTAGCTCTTTGGAAGCTCCTGTGGATGGTGCCTTCACAGATGGGTCTGCAGGCAGTGGGAACATCATTGTCAGTCCATTGGCCTCATGCATTTTCTCCAGACCCATCTGCACTTGGGAGCATCAGAGAACTGCTACTTCTGCAGGCAGAACAGTCAGTTAATGCAAAAATAGATTCCAACCAGGCTCTTTCCCAAGGAGGGTAGGGAGGCAGAACTGAGGTCAGATAGGATAAAGAACATGTCAAAGTCATGTTGAGGCAAAACCACTGCCTCACTGAGATTGCCTCAGTAACTAAAGAAAATAGAAAGTCAGTACCTTATAATCTCTGTACTTTTAGCTATTTTCCAATTTGCCTGTTGGCTTGATTTAAATAAACTAATTCTCTTGAATTCTTATTTCTTTCTTTCCAAGTTTGAAGCAACATCTCCAAGATACTTCTTCCATGAAGCTATTAATTGGGGTGAGAGTAAAATAAAAGGTCAGTGCTGCATGTATGTTTTTGTATTTGTTTTCTCCAAAAGACCCCTTTGGGGGAGATAATGAATGAACTCTTTATTATTTCCATATAATGCAAGAAGGAAATGGAGCCAGGGTGGTAAAAATACTTAGTAATAATTTAGGTTCACTTCTTTTTTTGGAAACAAGCAGGGTTAAACACTGATAAAAAAAAGCTGATAACTGTATGACCAGGACAGATATCCTTGGGTATCAGAAACTTACCTTCTAAAGCAATTACTTGTCTCATGGTCCCTCCTTGACATCCTCTTTTTGCTTACCAATTTCCTGTTTTTATTAAGCAGAAAGCTGATAGTAGTTTAAAATTTAATTTGTTTTTCCTTGCATTTAAAATAACAAGACTTTTTGTTTTTGGCTTAATATTGTTTTCAGAGAATAAATAGGGCTGTAAATATTTTTTGAAGGAAATACATTTGTTCACCTGAATATTTTAGGCATTATTCACTGTAAAAATGGAAGATGGCGATATAAGATAAAACTTAAATATAGTATTGCCCCTTAGGGGAAAAACCCTGCATTTAAGTTTATGAAAAATATTCCTAACCTATATTTATGATCAAAGTTGAAACAGCTCATTTTTCTTCAGTTAAGACATTCTACTTAGAGAGTTGTCTGTGTTTAAGTGTAGAGAGAAACTTTAGATCCGTGGATCTTAAGGTGGAAGGATAATAGGGTTTCCCAATTCTTGCCTTTGGCAAAACTGTGGTTCAGTTCCTCCAGTTAGATAAGTGCTTTCATGACCTTGACATATTCCAGAAAGGCACATCTCTAGTAATACTTTACAGGGACTCAAAGATGTCCTCTAGCTCTCTCTGTGTTACTTAAATCCTTCTTGCTTGAGTTTTGCCAGCTGCCTCTTGTCCTCTCCTTATTAGAGGAAAAATTTTCACTGATTCATTTGCGTTTTTAAAACTCGCTCAGGAGCTCATAGTTTCTTGCTTCTTCTTTTCAACATAATCCGTTGGGGCGAGTTTTCTTTCCATGAAAGAAAGAAAATATTTTTGATGATGGCCAGCTGTGACTTTGGCTTCTCTCCCATTAGAACTAAATATGGGTCAGAAAAAAATGCATCATTTGTAATTAAGCCTGAGGATTAATACACAAACTTCAAATTACATTTTTAATCATTCTCTTAAAAAATGGGAGTTTTATTTTGAGTATTATACTTTGCCCCATCCTTTGAGCTAAGAAATGGACATGATTCTTTAACACAGCACTTGCTCCTGGGGAAGGACCCCACTGGACATGCAGCGGGTGCCAAACGCCGTCAAGGGAATCAGCAGCAGCTTGTGTATTTCTGGATCTCATCATCTGGGGACAGGGATTCCTTACATGGGAACTTGACCTTTCAATGGCTTGAAGGAAGCTAACCTTTGCTCTCAGGGTAGTTGGAGATGTGAAAGCCTGTCTTTCTTGTTTCACAGCACACATAATGAAATGAACTAGATAAAGCTTTGATGGGCTTAATTCTTTAGCTCATCAAGGCAAGATGCCCAGCGTTCTGTTTGAGTTAATAGTGGTTACAGTTAGTCCAAGCTAAATCTTGACATATTATGTTTATAAGAACTGATGCATGCCAGGAGATAACTTATTTATTTTGTCCCTCAGGTTCTTGCCCTCATGAATGCCTTAACGGAGCTTTCTGTTCTAAGGCTGGTACATGTGACTGCCAAATATTTCAGGCACTTGGGACACGGTGCCAGATTGGTAAGTTTCAGGGATACTTATGAGAGAATTATGAGATGCTGAAGAAGACATTAAGGCATAATTTTCTATATTAGGGTTCATCCATTGGGATTTGGACCAATCACATTGTATATTAATTTGAATGCTCACAATTCATTCCCAGCAATTTAGAAACAACATAAAAAAGAATAGATATATATGCCTACTTTCTCTTCTCACTTATCTCTACTATTTCCTCAAGCAGTTTTTCCTACTCTAGATGATACTAGCCCATTAAAACCATGTTCTCATTCATGTTTCTTTTTCTTGATAAATTAGATTTATTATTTGGAGCCACACATTCTTTTTGACCTTGAGTTAATTGGATATTCTGTACATAAAATAGAAATAATAATGAGAGCTCTTCAAAGCAGAGGATTCTTTAAAAAAAATTTTTTTTTTATCCATGGTGTCTAGGTTAGGATCTTACATCAACCATAATCAATAAATATTCATTGGTGTAATGGGTATTTATTGAGCATCTACTAGATCCCAGGCTAGGCTCTGGGGATACAGTAGTGAACAATACAGACATGTTCCTGTTCTCTTGGAAGTTACAGTCTAGAGGACGGGACTAACGCACAACAGATACACATTAATCATACTTGTGACGTACTATAAAGTAAAAGATTCTATGAAAATTTGCAACAGAGGTGAGGCATACTGTCAAAGAAGACTGCCTGAGTAATGAACCACTCTCTGTTTTTCCCCAAAAAAGGCCAAAGTTGGCCAAGGCTAATAAATTTAGGTAATATTACAAAAGAAAAGACATAATTGTGCCTTATCTTTATGCTCTCTATATAGAGTATTGAAATATTTTACACATATCAATTACTCAGTAAATGTCATTGATTTTCATATTATTCTAAAGGGGAGGATCTCAAAAATTCAAATAGAATAGAGGGCTATCCACAAGGGTAGTAAGGGAAGTAGGCATGAGTATAATAGGAGATGATGTATAATTTAAGACAAACATTGCTTAAAATTTGACCAGTTTAAAATCATGATTTTTAAATTTTTTTATTTATTTAAAATTTACCTTTATTGTTGAAAATATTACAGGTACCACCCTTTCCTTTTTTATTGACCCCCTCCACCCCACTTCTGCCCCCACCCCAGGCCTTCACTGCACTATTGTTTGTTCATTGGTTATGCATATAGAGGTCATGAATTTTTAAATTCCAGCATACGTTGGATGACTAATGCTCCCATACCTAGATGTATAAACATGATCTTTTTTTGTCAGTGGTTATTTTTCTCTGTGAGTACTATTAAGATATTTTTGAAAAAATTGTGGAGACTGGAACACTCTCATGCTGCCAATGATAATTTTTAGGACACTTGGTGGTGACATTTTATTCTTTTGTGAGCCATTATATTGCTTTATCACTATCACTTTCTTTTACTCTATCATTCTCCCTACTCCTCTTTTCTTCCAGAATCTTCCTTTGGGAGCAAACATAAGAAAGTTTCTAACATAAATCCTTTCTTCAAAGCAACTTGAAAGCCATGTTTTCCTTCAGGGAAGTTTAATGGTTTTGAGAGCAACCAGCAATTTTATGTTAGTTATCTCTTCCTGTAATATTGACCTCCAGAGAAGACAATATTTATTTTAATGCAATAGAATCACCTCTCATGACTGAACCTTACTAGAAACAGGTGTAATTTATTTTATTCTACTAAGTATTACCCTATTTCTTTTCAGTGCCAAACATGGGCAATGGCAGAGATGGGATTTGCAAAACCTGGGGACAGTACCACTTTGAAACGTTTGACGGCATCTACTATTATTTCCCAGGAAACTGTTCTTACATTTTTGCAAAAGACTGTGGTAATTTAGAGCCTCAGTACACTGTATGGGTAAGTGATCTTAGGGTATAATTAACTTAAAAGTTACTTTTGGTGAAACCTATTCTTTTAAAGTACTGGAAAAATTATAGAAAATCTCTCTATATAAAAGCCCAGCAATGGGAATGGCGGAATGACCAGAACGACCGGAACGACTGGTGGCTATGACAGCCAACCAGCCTGATCTGGGCTCTGATCGTTCCCCTCACCCACCTGGCTGGTCCCACTCCCAGTTGGCCCCCAACCTGATCAGGGGTGGGGCCAGCAGGCCAACTGCCCGCAGCCCCTCTCCCACACCATCCCGGTCCAATGGGCTCCGATTGGGGCGGCCCGGCTGGACCCCACCCATGCACAAATTTGTGCACTGGGCCTCTAATATATAATAATCAGAGTATGAATACTCAGGGTTCTAACTGGGGAAGGAGAGTGTTTGGTCCTTAAAGGGGTGGATAAAATTTGCAGCTATATTGAGTGTCCTTCTATCAAGATGGGGCCTAGGACTGAGAAAAGGAAGATTTAGACCCATGTGGAAGGGACTTTCAGGCAGTGCAGAAATGTCTACATCACAGATGTCAAAATGTCAACTCCAGTTGATGTCCTCATTCTTCAGGTGTTATTTGATCATTTTGAAGAGAAGGTGGGTCCAGGCACCACCATATTATTCATATATGTTTCCTTCTTCACATATCCAGTGTCATGTCACCTGCATTAATTTTTAAAACATGCCCCCTCAGTATGAACGGGAGAACAGCATTTATGAAATGGAGTCCATACATTACATGAGCGCAGGCTAGAGTGCCGCAACCTTTTATGGCGGGGGTTCAGGATCTGAAAGAGGGGCCGACGCACCAATGAAAATGCTATACAAGAAATATGGATTTAGAAGGCATGGGGGGAGCAGGTGGAGACCTTTCTTGAAGAGGCACACCGACTTCTGGTCGGTCTGCTTTTATTCACTTGAAAACACATTTGCCCTTTAGCAATGCATATAGGTATATCAAAGGTAAAGTTTGGTAAATAGTAAAAGGATTATCAGGTTAGGAAATTTTCTTTAGCCATTGAGCCCACAGCAGGGCAATATTATGCTGATTTTCAGCCCTGCTGAATATCAAAGTCCATTGGCCTTCCAATGGGTCTTTTTGCGTTAATATACTAACTACTGTTGGTTTTAGCCTCCAGCAAGCAGGATATGGATACAGGCAGCTAATTGCTAGGTGGATTGATACTCTATGATTGAGCTCACAAGGTAGTTCTTAGTTTCAGAATTCTTGCTTCAATAGAATCTTAGGAGACATCCAAGAATATAAGGTGCAGAGTGGCTCTAGCTGAAGGAAGTCAGGCCCTCTTTCCCTGCCCACAATCTTCCCCTGAATTTCAGGGATCTTAAAGCACACCCAGGAAACTGCTGAGCACCCTGTTCAAAAGCTAAACTCTCCATAGCTGTCATTTGTTTGACTCTTCCCCGCCCCCCCCCTCTAATTATATTGGAGTTGCATAAATTCTTTTTGTCTCTTAGGTGAGGCAAATTTAAAAAAGTAGATCCTGAAATTTTTCAAGAACAACAAATCCTAATGATCCAGGAAGGAAATGAGGTCTATTGAAAGTTAACTTATGAGGCATAAAGATTAAAAATTGGAGGTTTCTTTAGATGGGAGAGGTAGTGGAACACCTTCAGCACTCACAGGGCTCCTGTTATCAGTCCCTTGCTGTCCTTTATGCCTTCATCCTGTCCCTGGGTTTATCGCTCAAACACCTTCTGACTCCTTCATTAAAGTGATCTTGTGCAGTGGCTCACCCTTTTGAGGACTAAAGTGTCAACTAGATAATCTATCCTTTGATAATAATACACAATGCTGAACTTGCTTGAGAGCTAATAGATACTGTTTCTACTTGGCCCTGTTTTGCTTGGTGGAATTTGCTTTCAGATCAACAAATCTATTTGTTTTAAATATCATCTTTCCCCTGATTATAGAAATAGTAGAGTCCTGGTGCATGAAAATTCATGCAATGGAGGAGGGGTCCCTCAGCCTGGCCTGCCCCCTCTCACAGTCTGGGAGCCCTCAGGAGTGGAAGGCGACCCAGTGCTCAGGAGAAGGCGATGTCCCATCACACCTCTGCTGCTGCCACTGCCGGCAGCGCAAGCCTCGGCCGGCCCTGGTTACCTGTGCCTCGGGCTGGCCCTGGGCGGCTGGGGGGGCTGAGGGGACTGGGGGACTTCGGAGGCAGGTGTGCCTGCCGCCCTGGCGGGACTGAGGGGACTGGGCGCAGCCATCTTGTGGCTGTGGGTGCCACCATCTTTGAGTATGAGGCAGTCAATTAGCATATTCCCTCCTTATTGGCTGTGGGCACTGCCATCTTTTAAGGCGGGGCAGCAATTAGCATATTCCCTCCTTATTGGCTCTGGGTGCCGCCATCTTTGTGATGGCTTGAGGGTCAATTAGCATATCCCCTCTTTATTAGATAGGATTTCACTTCATTTGTAGAAAAGTTTAAAAATTCAGAAAAGTCTGAAAAATAATACTAGAACTATAAGTCAAGAGTTACCTTTGCTAATGGCTTCATATATTTCCTTTTACACTTTTTTCTTCTGGGTTTTGTACACATTTATAATATTAAACTCATACTATATATACTTTTCTGTCCTATATTTTCACTGAATATTATATGAAGAACTTTCTTGCATTTCAAATATCCTTGACAAACACTAATTTTATTAGTTATGTTTGTTTCAACTTATAGAATATTCAAATTATTTAACTATGCCCTGTTTTAGAAATGTAGGTTTTAAAAATATTTTCAGTATTTTAAAACATATGTTGATAAACACCTTTATGAACATATTTTTATTCTCCTGATTCTTTTCCCTTTAATTTCAATTTTACTTTTTATGAAGATAATACATGCACACAGTTTAAAAGATTTCAGCAAAGCTTACAAAGCAAAAAATAAAACAAAATAAGATAAGATAAAAATAAAATAAAATAGCCCTGCCTTCCTCCACTCCCAAGCCCCAGCTGAAGTCTGGCTCTTCAAAGGCAATTACTTCAACTTCTTTCGATGTTTTTTTCCTGGCTTTTATTTTACATTTCAAAATACGGTTTGTTTGTTTTTTTTTTTCAAAGATAGGCCTTACTCACTTCTTACTATGGAAAATGAGGAATCATCTCAGGTGCATCACCCTTCCTAACCCTAACACACACACACACTTTCTTTCCTTCCTCCTAATAGAGATATATTACCATTTTTAGTTAAATCACATGTGTGTTTTTTCACTTATTTCCATTTATGTATTATACATATATGGATAATATTCATGTAAGTATTGTTTAGAATTGAGCTTGATAGGTTATTATGATTTTACTAGAGGCCCAATGCATGAAATTCATGTGAGGGGCTCGGCCCACACAGCCCCTGCCAGCCCTAGCAGCTGCTCACAACCTCGGCCGGCCCTCGCAGCCTGGCTTCATCTGGAAGGTCGTCTGGACAGTCGTTCTGCTATTCGGTCTAATTAGCATATTAGCTCTTTATTATATAGGATTTTTCTTCGTTGTGCATTTGTATAGAGTTAACATCCTAATTTTGATTTGCTGCATGTGCTATACAGCAATCACTATTTTTTCCCCCTCCAAACTCTCTAGCACTATAAAACTCTTCTCAATATGGTCAGATACTTTAGGAAATCCCTCAGTTTCTCCTTCCCCTCCATGATGTGTCCATTTCTTAGTTCTTTATTCTCTGCTCCCATTGAGACTGGTTGTCTTGGAGCCCACTGCACACCTAGCACTTGGGATTTCTCTTCACCATCCTCTTGGAGAATTTCATTCTTGTTTGTCCTGTGTTGATTTCTCTGTTTTTTGGGTCCATAAAATGTCTAGTGATCCTAGAACTTTGTTCATACTTGAGAGATAGGCTCTATAAAGCTCATTGGATGCTCTAAACATGAGAACAGTGCTTATTTGTAGTGTTGATTGAGCAGAAATCTATGTATTCATCCTTGTTTTAATTGACTATATTTTTGAGTTGTTTTCTTGAAAGAAAAGACACTTTGCTAGAAAGTGTGCATGGAAGTAATTATCTTGAAACCTTGATTATAAGTTGGAAATCACTTTCAGAATTTTGAAATGCAATCCATTCTGATTTTTGGCATTTTACATATGGCCTTCCTCAACCTCCTGCAGACATTTTTAGTTATTCTCTTTATCTCTACGGTTGTGCAATTTTGTGAATATGTAAGTTTTTTAAAAAAATTATTGTATGGGTACTTCATGGGACCTTTCAAGCTTTAAAAATGACTCAGTATTGGAATAATATTTCTTTTTCTTCCTCTCTTTTAGAATTTTCTTTTTCTCTTTCAGAAATTCTGTGATTCAGATATTAGAGCTCCTGAAATAAGTGATTGATTCCTTAATTTTCATGTTAATTCTTCCCTATTTTCCATCTTTTTTTTGGTTTACATTTTGGGAGATTTATTTCCAACTCTTAGATATTTATATTCCAATCATTCTATTTCAGTTATAGGTTTCTCCTATGATACTGTCAATATACAATTCTTATTTTTATTCTTTGAATTTCATTTTAACATAATTTTATTCTTTCCTGAATGATATAACTCACTAACTCACTTTTCCCTCTGAAGATATTAGTTATGAATTTTTGGAAGTTTATTAAAAATTTTTGATTACTTTTATATTTGGTTTATATATTTGTATTTCATATTGCAGGCTTTTACCATGATCCATGAATGTTTATTCACATTTGAGGATTAGGCTCTAAAAGCTGATCAGAAATCTCTAAATATATGGATGGGGACTTGCTTGCATGGTGGGAAATTGAACAGGGAGCCTCTAGTTTCATTAGATATGCCCCAGATATGAGTATCTGTATGTCCTTTTTCCATTTCATTTCTCGAAAAAAAAATTTCCCCAATATCCTGAATGAGGTCAGTGCATGGATTCCTGGATACTGCCAGCATTTTAGGCCTACCTCTTCAGGCTTTTGCACTTGCTGTTCCTTTGCCTAGAATGGTCTTCTAAATATCCATTTGACTTGCTCTTATGCCTCCTTCATCTTTACTAGAATTTCCTCTTATTAGAGAGGCTTTCATTGGCTACTCAACTTAAAATTAACTCCCAATCTTTGACACACACTCTTTATCCCCTTTGTCTGCTTGAGGTTTCTCCTTCCTGTTGTCTAGCATCATATATATTTTAGTTATATTTAGTTATATTTTTTATTAACTGTTTACCTCTAATGAAATAAAAGTTTCATGAGAGCAGGTGTTTTTATCTGTTTTGCTGACTGTTACATCTCTTGAATCTAGAATAGTAACTGGTAGATAAGAAAGTTTCGATAAAATTTGCTGATTATTCATTTAATATATATTACATTTATTCAGTATTAAGCATTTATCTTATCATTGTGATTTTCTTATCACTTTTATGCTTAGAAAGTTGTTTTCTGTCTATATAGTTACTTACATTTTCTTTCAATTATGTTATGTTTCCAACATTATACTCTATTTTGTGAACCTTCTGGAATTAATTTTGGAAGAGGTTGTTCTCCTTTCTTCTTTTCTTCCTTGCTTTCTCTTTTCTTTTTACTAATTTATTAATTTTCCCTATCCATTTATTTTTTGAAAAACAATCTCTCTTCCTAAAGTGTCTGGGCGATTTTATTTTTAGTGAGGTTATAGTTACTACTGCAATCTTTACACAAAGCTTTATGTAGAGCTCTATTTGAAGCTCGATTTCATGATTCTCTAACAGGTAAAAAATATGGATATACCAATTACAAATGGCCTGGCCAGCATGGCTCAATGGTTGAGCTTCAACCTATGAACCAGGAGGTCATGGTTCGATTCCGGGGCAGGGCACAAGCCTGGGTTGCAGGCTTGATCCCCACTAGGGTATGTGCAGGAGGCAGCCGATCAATGATTCTCTCTCATCATTGATGTTTTTCTCTCTCCCTTCCTCTCTGATATCAATCAATAAAAATATATTTTAAAATTACAAATGTGTTTCTTTGTGGTGCTCTACAGTCTTGTCAGACTATTTTTTCTAATATACACCATGTTAAAAAAATGCTGAATTATATGAAGTTAATCCTGTTGTCCAATTTCTGAGATGAATATTTGTTTTCTCTTAAAAATCTAAAATGTAGTTATAATTTTGTATAGTGTCATAGGACTAATGATGCCATAGAAATATAGGCATATATTGTAGTTTTAGTAATTGAAATGAAAGCTTATATTCCTATCCTTCCTTTTGTTTTTCTCTCTTTAAGGTTCATAATAGCCCTAAGTGCCTTGGTTCAGTGTATTATTGTTACCGATCGATCAGTTTGTTCTTTTCAGACCAACAGGAAATTCGAATTTATGGGCATGAAATAAAAAAGAATGGAATCAGGTAAGATGGAATAAATGATGTAATGAAAATAACACATGGACAAAGAGCACTTCCAAACACCTCACATTGAAAGTGAATTGTGGAGCAGGAAGAGAGAATTTCTTTTCAACAATAACCTTTAAGTTATATCATAGATACCAGAACTTAGGTAGGCTCCAAGGCCAGCCAGGTGGCCAGGAATCTAGCCATTGTAACCTCCCTATTGCTTATGTAGGATACAAATATGTTTACATAGGTGGAGAAAAGATGATCATATCTTTTTCTAAGAGACTCGAGAGATATCTTCATAGTTGAAGTGTTCAATCATTTTTGGCCTCTATCTTTCTTTGTTCTTTTTTTATTTTTAAAGCAGAAACTTTAAATAAAACCAAATCTCTGCAAGTCCTTTCCAAATTTATGTGAATGAAGTTTGGGTGTCACTTGAGTTTTTCCATTAGTGTTCTGACAAAGATTCAGAGCCAATATGTAAAAGGCCTTCTTGAATAGATCAGAGAGGGGGCCCACTATGGTTTTCTGTCTGCCAAAAATAATATCTGAGGGATTTGGGTAAAGAGATATTTACTTATTAAGTCGGTGGAAGGTTTTATACATTTTAAACTAGGAATACTGTGGAATAATCTGCCTTCCAATCTAAATAATTATAGAGATATTTAGTCTTAACTATCTCTTGGCTGAGGTATGCCAGGAAAAGGAAATTACCACATGGAACAATGCTATCCATCCTTCAGAATTCACCAGCAAGTGTTTGAACCAGAGGGATTCTTTCCAGTGCCATGGCCTGGCCAACCTAGGTGCTGTTTTTCTCAGTTTAGATTCCTTTGAGTCAACAGATGGTACAGAAAGGACTTTGGATGAAGGACCAGGGAAGCCAGGCACCCTGTAGTAGCCTGTCTCTCTGGGCTTATTTTCTTGATCAGTTGGGTTCTGTACTTCTAATTATCTTATAAAAGAAACAGCCATTTGAATGGGAAGATAACACACTACATATGTATTTCCTGGAACCAAATTTAAATAGAAATTTAGAATTCCCTATATGGGATTTTAGGTAACATATTGACACTTTAAAAAATTATGTTTTATAAAGCAGAAATGGCATTCAAGGAGATTTTCAAGAATACTAACCCTTTGTTAATTCGAAGATATAATATTTAAGTTATAACTCAGAGATGTCGTATGATAGAAAAAGGATGGTTTTCTTATTAACCAACAAACTTGCTTATACTAACGCTGTATCTGGCCTAGGGCCTAACTCATAGCAGGTTTTAGAGAAATGTTTGCCAAAATGAAATCAAATATGTGAGGCTCTGCACATCACGTCTCACCTCTCTGGACTTCTGTTCTCTGACCTGTGCATATGAATCTGTAAATAATTTTTAGCATTAATCAGTGCATTCATTTTAGTTTACATTGTTAATGTTTCTTGCCGAGGTTGGAGTTTTTCTTAGATTTCTGGGAGATTATATAATTTTTCCTATTATCCCCCTCACTACTAACATCCTTTTATGTTATAGACATCAGAATGATCACATACATCTTTTATTTTAAAAAACAGTTTACTTAATCAATTTACTATGAAAGAGATAAATGACAAATGACCATACCAAAAACTACCCACAACAAAACAACTATACCTCTATAAAATCAATATTCCATTGCTATAAAATATTTTTATAAAATGATTCACTTTTTTATGTATACCTTTTATAAACTAGTAAATTTAATATTATTCATACTGAATTTTACTATGCATTTAATATGAATTCCTCATGTTTATAATTTTAAATATTAACAGATTATGGAAGCAATTAGCTAAAGTCTTTGTATTTATTCTCCAAAATAAATTTTTAGTTATTTTCCTATTCTTTTGACTAATTATCTGTAAACATTTATATGCAGACATCTTTGGGAAAATGGATAGATATTTTGAATTATTTCTTTGTGGGCTATCCCTTTGTTAATGAGTCTGTCTAGTTTTATAGTTTTTGTATCATGTAGCCATTCTTTTCCTGAAAAGGAACCCAGTAATTAGAAGTTTTGAGAGAAATGTGTAAATATACCTATTAACCTCCCGCCTCACTCACATTATAGTTTATAATTTTCAGTTAGCATGGCTATCGTAATAACAATGATTTTTGCCTTCCATTTCTTGAATTATAGCACCTGCTCTTTTCTGTCGTATATGTGACTAAAGGGGAAGTGTTCTTTCAAAAGTATCCTAGGCAACTTACTATGCTTCTAAAATGTCTAATTGTTTAGTTTTCTTTAGTTCGCATATGTTTCCCACTTCCTTTGTACGTTCACATTCTTGTGAAAATTGAAAAGACTAGACGTTGGATCAGGAATTTCAATACTCAATGTGACCCTTATGTAAATAGGCCCAATTTTATGCCTTTTAAAAATTATGAATATAAAAACTGTGGTACATCTACACAATGGAATACTATGTTGCTGTAAAAAGGAAGGAATTCTTACCATTTGCAACAGCATGGATGGAACTGGAGAGCATTATGCTAAGTGAAATAAAGCCAGTCAATGAAAGAAAAATACCACATGATCTCACTCATTTATATATGATAAGGACCATTATAAACTGATGAACAAAAATAGATACAGAGGCAGAGCTGCCTCCAAACAGACTGTCAAACTACAGCCAGAAGGCTGGGGGGAGTTGGGGGACAGGAAGTGGGGGTAAGAGATCAACTGAAGGACTTGTATGCATGCATATAAGCATAACCAATGGACATAAGACACTGGGGGGTAGGGAAATCAGGCCGTGAGAACCTGACACCTGACCATGTGGCTTGTGTCCTCCCAGGAAGGGGCCCCAGGAGCTGCTGGGAGAGCTCTGGGGTAACCAGGTGAGTTTAGCGGGGTCGCTCAGAAGGGCACCCGGCACCCAGGAGGTGAGTGTGTAGGCGTGGTGACTATTTTTAGCACTTTTCCCCCACTCCGAGGACAAGGCCAAACCACCTGCACACAAGGTCACATAGCAGCCAAGCTCTGCACCAAGTTCTGGCCACAGCAGTTCTGCTGCCTGCACGGGCCCTGGGTGCCCGCGGGCCAGAGGAGGGTGTGTAGGAGACGCCGGAGAGCGGCGGGGCAGAGGGCAGACGCACGCACCTTCCCGCAGCCGGGCACCTCGACGCCGTCCACGGGCCGGGGGACCTCGATGGACTTGACCAGCCCGTACTTGCTGCACTCGTCCCGCACGTCCTCCACGATCTCCTCGTACTCCCCGTCGTCCAGCAGCTCCTCGGGCAGCACCGTGTTCAGGAGGCACAGGACCTCCGTGGGCTGGCCGCCCATCTGCACCTGGGAGCTCAGCAGGCCCGGCACTTGCAGGGTCACGGGGGTCTGGAGGATGGTGCTTGGCGTGGCATTCTTGGCGCCCACACTCGCCCTCTGCACCTGCAGTGTCCTGTCCCCCAGCTGCATCCCACTCAGCCCCGCAATGGCCTGATCCGTGACGCTGATGTCCACGTACTCACAGAAGGCATAGCCCTTGGAGAGCCCGGTGGCGCCGTCCTTGACCAGGTGGAAGCCCTTGAGAGGCCCGAACGACGTAAGCAGCTCTTTCACCTGGTCCTCGTGCAGGTGGTTGGGCAAGCCCCCGACGAACAGCTTGTGGGCAGAGTCCGGGACCACGGTGGACACCACGCCAGGCAGGTAGACAGAGGGGTTCTCCGACAGGCCGGGCAGGGGCTGGTAGTCGTGAGGCCGGCGGATCTTCAGCGACTGGCCCTGGAAGATGATGCCGTCGAAGGCCATGGCCTGGGTGGTCTCGTCCACGGAGCGGAACTCCAAGAAGGCAAAGCTCTTGTCCTGGTTGATCTGCACGGCCAGGACGGGGTGGCCCGGGGCCCGCGTCAGCCCGCCCAGGCGCATCTGGGCGTTGAAGAAGTCCACCATGGCCTCCTCGGTGACGCCGAAGGGGATGTTGCCCACATAGAGGC